TATATATATATATATATATACACACACACACTATACTATACTATATTATACTTTAAATACATCTTTATATACTATATATACATCTTAATATATAGGCCGTGCGGATTACCGCCCGCCACTTGATCCTGTTAAAATGGTATCAGAGTCTAGGCACTTTCATGGTATATATGAGATAGATATGAAATATTCGACATAGATATGTTTCTGAAATATGGATTTAGGAGAAACTAGCATGAAAAATACTAGGTTGGAAGAGGTAGATATACCTCAAAACCTTGATTTGTTAAACAAATGGACGATTCCTAAAGTCCCTATTAGAACAATCTATGATTACGGATGGTTTGATAAATTTTCTTCTAAACAACTTGTTAAAACTAATGAGCAATCTTTAGCTTTAAATTCGTCTGAACAAACTATTCGTTTGTTAAACAAGCATGATGTAGATGTTTATAAAAATCAGTATAATTATCTGCATATTGGTATAGTTCAAATTGCTTTTAAGCCATTAACCCTTAAAGGGTTACCAGAGACGTTTTTGGCTGCTCTCAGAGATACTAGAAATCTGAATTTTAGACAGTCTCTGATGGGTTCTATTGAATCTACTATGGCCTACGGTCCAGTATATTTTAATACTCAACCCAATCTGGAATTATCTCTATCTGATGTTAATATACTTGATGCCTTGACATTAAATATTAAAACGCATGGTTATAATTATGCGCCTGGTTCTGAACTTATATGTTTATCATATAGAATTTATTTCAAATTGCTATCTACGTTAAACCCTAGATGTAAATTATATGATACATCTGATCAGACTATTTTAGTAGAAACGAATTTTACAAAGTCTAAGGTCACCACGAGGAGACCTATCAAGTGGGAAGAAATTAATTTCCCAACTACTTGGCATTTAGATTCGGTTATATCCCCTAGTCAGATAACTGATGCTGTTAGTAATACTGAATATTCTCATATTACTCAAAATTCGGATGGTAGGATTTGCATTCAGTTTGATGATAATAGTTTCACTTATAATAGGCAGTCATTTTCTAATAATAGACTTTTGCCTGCTATTAGTTCTAATAGATATTCTTTTACCAATCGTAGATTGTTGCCTGATATTCAACATATTTTACCTGTTGAACCAGTCTATGGACCAGCTAGAAATCGTGTTGCATCCTTGCATACAATTTCTACTAAAGTGGGTGATAAGCCAGTTAAAAGGGTTAAAATTAACCCCCAAACAAATATTGTTCATGATAGTAATAATATTTCTGATAAGGATATTCCTTCTGCGTCCGAGATGGATTTCAACCCCAATGATGTTTAATGATCCCACACCAAATAGATTTTAGTCCAGGGTCACAAGCTAGAATTTATATTAAAAAAGAATTTTTCAGTGATAAGTGGAACCGGTTTAAAACTTGGTTTTTTGATACTTATAGTAAAGATGATTTAAATAATATTTCTCAAGAATTTTATGAAACTTGTACTTTACATAATCAAATTATGTATTTTGTTCCTTGGTTTATAACCACCTATTTACCACTTTTTATAAAAATTTTGGAAAGATCTTATAAAGACGGGAGTGGCAATATTACTAAAGCCATTTACCCTCCTCAAGCACCTTTTGTTTTACCTAATAATACAGGTATTACATTTACTGCATTTCAAAAATTTATTGATGAAGATGTTGCTGCAGTCAGCATCGCAGAAATTAATAATTTGATTTCTCAAAATAATTATTTGAGTTTATATGTTAAAGTTTTGGGTGAACAAATCAGTTTTCTTGATAAAAAATTTGATGATTTAACAGTTTTGATAAAGGATATGAGTACTAGCAAGATTTTAATTGATATTGCCTCTACGTCAGGAAGCAAATCAGAACCCCAAACTGTTCTTACTCATGTTCAAAGACCCCCTGAGATTCAGGATTTTAAATTCAAATCTTTAAATGATTTAGAAGAACTTCTTGATAAAAAGTTATCCGGTTTGAATATCAAACCTATTGATTTATCAAAAGATTTTGCTGATAAATTAGATACTACTTTTGATTACAAAAATGAAGTTTGGTCAGAGTTTAATAAACTTAGAGGTTATCCCAAAAAGAATAGTAGGCATGCTGATAAACCCAGAATGCAAACTTATTATTACGATCGTCCTACTCCTCAAGATGTCTTAATTGAGGAACGTGATTGGAATCAGACTAATATATCATATAGTGGTTCCAAAATTTATGAGTGGAATCTTGATGGATTGACTGATAGACAACTAACTATTCTTGTGCATAGAATCCTTATGTATGCAACTATCTGTAAGAGTGTGAAAAATACAGATAGAACTATTTGCAAAATGATTGTTGCAGGTTTTACTGGCCAACTTCGTGGCTGGTGGGATAATTATTTGTCTGCTGATGAAAAGTTAATGGTTATTAACGTAATAGCCACTGACGAAGGAGTTGATAACTTAGGCATGACTCTTGTGAAAAATAGAGAAGATGCTGTTTATACCCCTGTTCTTACTATTTTAGAACATTTCAATGGTAGATTTACCAATCAGCATGAGACAGTTCGTACTCTACTTAATGGTCTTAGATGTAGGACCTTAGGTGAATTCAGATGGTATAAAGATACCTTTATGAGTAGAGTTATGGAGTTACCAGAAAATAAGTACGACCATTGGAAAGCTATGTTTATAGATGGCCTTCCCTCATTATTTGCTGAAAGAGTTAGAAAGACTCTAAGAGGTAGCTTTGGTGAAATTCCGTACAATAATTATACCTATGGTAAGTTAATAGGAATTTGCACACAGGAAGGGTTAAACCTGTGCAATGAGTTAAAATTGTCGAGAGAGCTTAAGATGGATAAGCTCAAGGAAAGAAACCAATTAGGAGACTTTTGCACCCAGTTCGGACTACCCGAGACTTCTACTCATAAGAAGAAGAAACATAAGTATCATAGATACCCTAACCAAGATAGTCCTTATAAGAGAAATAGATCTAGATATAGATCCAAAGAAGAGCGTGAAGCCAAGAAAGCCCATCGCAGGTCTACTAGATTTACCAAAAATAGGTCTAAGAGAGAACTTGCTGATATTAAGTGTTACAAATGTGGAAAGTTTGGCCATATAGCTCCAAACTGTAAGCTTCAAAAGCTGAAAACCTTAGAACTAGACGATGAGTTACGTGATAAGGTTTATGGTTTGTTATACACTTTTGGATCAGAATCTGATTATTATTATTCTGAGTCAGAATCTGAAGCTGAAGTAGATTTACTTGATTTATCTGATAGTGATAATAATATTGATAATGCTTGTACAACTTGCAGAGGTAATACATGTACCTGTGATGATGATGAATTTTATAAATTGCAATCTCAGTTCCAAGATTTGAACATAAAAACTATTACATATGATAATGTGATAGAGCTTTTAAAAGAAGTTACTGATGAAAAACTTCGTGAAAAAATTATTAATTTGGCTGTCAGTAATAGTTCAAGTTCTTCTTCAAGTTCTTCAAAACCTTTTGAAAACTCAAAAAAAAGAATTTGAATATTCTGCTCCCTATTCTTTATTAGAGGTTAATAACCGTCTTTTAAATAAAAATACAACTCTAGCAAGAGATTCTTCTTTCGATGATTTAAAAATTGAAGTTGAAAACTTGAAACGAGAGATCAAATCTCTTAAACAAAATCAAATGATTTGTGATCATAGGATTACTCAGATTGAGAAAATCAATTCTCCAGCTGAGACATCTGATGATAAAAACAAAGATATTTCTGAAAATGATATTTCTTCTGAAAAACCTATTAAAATTTATTCTCAACATGATATGTTTTTGGGATTGATGCAAATTGTTACTGCTCATAGATGGTATATTAAATGTACTATTCTTATTGATAATAGTTTTTCTATCACGAATATTGCTATGATTGATAGTGGAGCTGATGTTAGCTGCATTCAAGAAGGTCTTATTCCTACTAAATATTTTCAGAAAACGACTCATATGGTTAAGTCTGCATTTGGACATGCTTTAGATATAGAGTATAAATTACCTAATACTGGTATTTGTCAGAATAAAGTCTGCATTTCTCACTTCTTTTTCTTGGTGAAAAATCAGTTATACCCTCCAATTATACTTGGAACACCGTTTATTAATGCTATTTATCCTTTTACTAGCATAGACTCAAGAGGTTTTACTGCTACTTATAAGGATAAAGAGATAAGTTATACTTTTGTTACAGATCCAGTAACTAGAGATATAAATGCTTTAATTGATATGAAGCAGAAACATATTGATTCATTACAGTTAGAACTGTTTAGTATGAATATATTTGATACTTTAAATTCTACTAAAGTACAGGAAAAGATCAAATTGATCTCCGAGAATATTGCTATTGATATTTGTGCCGAGCATCCCAGTGCTTTTTGGAATAAAAAAAAGCATATTGTCACTCTGCCATATGAAGATAATTTCTCTGAGGATGATATTCCTACTAAATCTCGACTTTGTCAGATGAACACTGAATTAGTAGAATTCTGCAAGAAAGAGATTGATAATTTGTTACAAAAGGGTTTGATAAAACCTTCAAAATTTCCTTGGTCTTGCACAACCATTTATGTTAATAATGCTGCTGAAAAGGAATGTGGAGTTCCTAGATTGGTTATTAATTATAAACCTTTGAATAAATTTTTAAAGTGGATTAGATATCCAATTCCCAATAAAAAGGATTTATTGTCTAGATTATA